TGTTGAGAGATCTTCCAACATTTTTGTTTAATTCAGGCAACTTTTTTGTATAATGGAGGGCCGCAAATGATTTTATTTCTTTAGCATTTTAAAAATGGCATGTCAAGTGTATCAGAATTTAGAAAATGTACATTTGTGTTTCACTTAATTCTCATAAATTGATTCATATAAAAGATATATTGGAAATACTGTAATGAGAAACACATGAAGTATCATTATTGGTATTTTTGATTATGATGGAACACCCATCGTCACTAGTGTGGTTTTATGCATTATGATTTTGATTTTTGGCGAATTTTGATAGTGTGGCCTTTTCTGGATAACAGGAAAAATGTTTCCAATTTACTGTATTTGACTTGAGAAATTCCCAGTTGTAAGCCTTTGCTGATTATTGGGGTGTTTCATGTCCCTCCTTGTCATTTGGTTATTATTGGTATCCCCCTTATGCAAATTATCCTTTAAAAATAGCGTTGGTGCAAATATATAAGCACCCCTGAAATTTCAGTTCTAATTATGCCAGACAAGTTTGGAAATACGTATAATATTTCTGTACTTGATGAAATCCTGTCAACATAAGAAGTGTATTTATAATTTTTTTAAAGAAGATTATTTGACTTCGGCAATTTCCACATGAACTTTCAACATTATATATAGAAGGAAAATTCTACAAATTTCCATTAAATATTTGATGTTTTGTTCAATTTTTCTGGTTGTTTATGAAATTCGGAAGCTGAATAAAAAAAAACGCATAGCCAGGGGCATTTGAACGGCTTCTTAACGGCATATGCAAGATCCATTTTATGTCCCAAAATGACAATTTCCGCAATTCGTGCCCATCCTTTAGATATTCTACGCGGCTCGCAGAATGCCATTCAAGCCATTTCAAGACCATGCGAAACCATATATTCAGGTTATAAGGTCATTTTACATGCCTCGAAAGCCGTCTGGCCATAGGAAGGAAGTGAAGACGGAAGGGGTTTTATTTCTCTACAACATAATAGCGTGTCATTGCGCACGGAATTGTCTAAATAATCGATAAGTTTTTCGAGTTTTTTTTTCTTTTAAACCGAAGGAAAGGTTTTGTTTTTGTACAGAGAATTCATCGCAAAAGTCGGATTGCAGATGGCCATGAGGGGCCCAGTGGGCCCCATGGGACTCACGGGCCTTCCGGGAGATGTTGGGCCGCCGGGCGTCGAGGGCCAGAAAGGAGAAACCGGCGAAATGGGCGAACAGGTATTTTTTTTAGTACTGCCAAGTACTCACACCCCACCCTACCCAGCCATCATGAAACTTTTCTTTTGGAACACAGTGAAGGTCTGGGGATTACTCAATTATCCACGAGGTCTTGGTTTTCAGTGAATTTTGCCTGCTGCAAGCCCGTAAAAATTGGCAACACTGCTCGAACGTTCAAGTTAATTTGCATTGTGATAAATTTAGAAGTGCTCTTCAACTGTAAATGGTATCAATTGACAAAACTCATGGGCATTGCTTTTAAAAAAAAAAACAGGTTGAGGAAGTTCTGCTGGTAACTTGGAAATGAATCCTTTTCAAAGCCTTTTTATTTCAGGTTGACAGGTTTTTTGAAGTGATTGAAATAGGTTTTTTGAAAATTGTAATTTCATGAAAGGGGCCCAGAGGTTTGAGAGGAGTCATGGGGATGCCAGGAAGGGAGGGGCGAAGAGGCAAACCAGGCAGGGATGGTGAAAGAGGCAGCAGTGGCCCCACTGGTATCAAGGGTGAACCTGGGCCACAAGGATTACCAGGTGGGACTTAGCTGTCTTTCATGTATAAAGAACCCTGTATGTATGACCCTCCTGTCCCAAAAAGAAACATGGTCAAATCTCAGTCATCGGAATAAAATATTCATTCCATGTCTCCTCCTTCGAATATCTTCCTCTGGTCTTGGAATTGTACCAATATGTCCAGATTTCAGTGCGGTATTGTCAATATAGAGAAGTTTGAATTTGATGGCAGTCGTTGATTGGGTCATAACGAGTTTAAATTAAATTGTAATTTAATTTAATTTTAATTAAATTTTTAATTTAATTTTAATTAAATTTTTAATTAAATTTTAATTTAAACTCTTTCTCTTTTATTTTTGTCATCAATTTGTGCTTTGTTTCCTGCTTTGAAGTGATTGAATGTCTTTGAGGGGAATTGGTTTGGGTGGGGAGGGGGTTTGGATGCAGGAGTCTTGGTTGTGCTTTGTGAACGCTGAAAAGTGGCAAATGAAGTGTTCTGTTCATTCATCATTAAATTTTAAGTTATCCCTGTGTATGTTGTTGGGCAATCATGGAACCCAGCAAACAATTGGATGATAAAGGCCCAGTGAAAATAAACAAAGACCATCAGCTGGTGTGCGGCAAATGTTTCTAATTTTTTTAGAAGCATTTTATTTTGCAATTTGACAGCAAAGAAATGTCACAATTTACAAGGGACACTTGAAGCAATTCACAAAAGTGAATAAAATGAATTGGTGCACAAATACATATCATAATGTATATAAAATACAAAAAAAGATAAAAAAGGAATTAAAAGAGACTTAAGAGAGTGATGATAAACTGCTTTCTATTCAAAAATGAAGTTTGGAGAGGAGAAAACACCTTCAATGGTGTTTTTTCCACATCAATATACTGTACTGCTGTACTGTACATGAAAAAAATAATTATGTATTTGGAAATAAATGTTGCTGCATATATGTTTCGTATAGGCCTGCCTGGGGAGAAAGGCGAGCGTGGGTTCCATGGGAAATCCGGAGGTCCCGGAATGCCGGGTCATGACGGGATTCCCGGCGACGAGGGCCAGCAGGGTCTACCAGGACTGCCTGGCGAAATGGTAAGCGTGTCAAACTTGGGTTCTAAAAAATATGGAAAGGCGCCGAAAGACGCAGTTGCCATTATGGACAGGGTCCAAGGGGGTTCCCCGGAGCCAGAGGCTTCCCTGGGCAGCCTGGCCCACCCGGGATCCCCGGCAGTGAGGGCAAAGAAGGCCCCAAGGGCGACCAGGGCCCATCTGGCCAACCGGGCCCGCCGGGACAAGGTGGCCCAACCGGCAGCATCGGGCCACCGGGACCACTGGGGCCCATGGGACCCATCGGCCCGATCGTGAGTTCATTCATCATTCCCCTTCCCCATAATTTTTTTTCGTTTCCATCATCTGACTATATTATATACTGCATGAGCTGGGTTCATTTAATCTCAAAGAGGCGATAATCAGAGAGAGATAAATGTATATTTATGTACGTACCAGAGAGAAGAGGATGATTTCATTCTAATCTTATTCCATTTCTCATACACTGCTAATCATTCTCGACAGTAAAAATTAAATCTATCTAAAAGATCTCTTTGATGATTCATTAATCTTAAAATCAGCTAGAATTTAAGACATGTCAAAGCGCTTATTCTTTTCATCACCAGTCATTTTTTAGTTTCCCTAAAATTCGGAAACTTTTTTCTTTGTACTCCAAGACTTCCTGTTCGGTCTTCAAATCTTGCCATTCAATGCAGTCATTGAAAATCGTTTTAAAAAGGCTGGTTCGCAAAGTCTTTGATTTTACAGCACCTGCCATTAATTTGTATTAAATTCCAAACGGCAACGGTTTGTGAATTTGGCATATTTAAAATAAAATTTTCGGCAGGAGTCGAGAAAGCAATTAAAAAAATATTTTTTCGTGAAAAGGATGGAAAAGTTTGATTGCAGTTTCTTGTTACATTTTGACTAACAGAATACGAACTGAGGAGACAAATAAAACATGATTCATTCCAATGACAACCTACTCAGAAAATGCTTCTTAGAATCCATAGAAAAAAAAAAGAATTACCCATTGACAGAAAAGAAAAAAATATTCTTTTAATGCATTGTTATCCAGGAAATACTCGGGTTTGTTTCCAAGACCTCTTTTTAAATTGCACCTTACTTCGAGGAAGCAAACAAGGTTTTCTCCTTGCAGCTGTTCCCCTTGTTTTGAAATCTCTCTTCACACGTCACCCCAGGTTAAAACAGCGTGACGCGCTTTTGTCCTCTTTAACTAATAAAACTCCCCCTCACTCTTGACAGTGACNACACAAGGTAATCACACAAAGTCTATCTGGAATAATTTAAATGCCATTTTTTAAATAGCTCTAATGAGCTTGAGAATTGGCAGAGGAATGCATACTCAGTTTCATTTTTTGGGAGGAAGAAAGAAGGGGAGGAAAGCAGTTTTCCTTGAGTGGGTTTTTCTTTGCCTCTGATTGGCTGATTTCTTTCGAATCAGCCAATGCTTTGTACAGCATTGTTGTAAAAGCACTTTTGAGCATGTTATTTGGTGCTGAAGCCTTCCAGGCCCAGTACAGGTGGTGCCCCACAATTTGAATCTAAACCAATGCTGGACTGTCCATTGCAAAGTAGTAAAATTGCAAAGCAACATAAAGTGCAATGTTTTCTGCATTGTATTCAACATTTTTGTCTATCTCTGTGGGTTAAATTGTGGGGTCTTGGTCAAATTGCGATTGACCAAATTGCAATTGGGTTGGGTGGGGAGGGGGTTTGGATGCAGGAGTCTTGGTTGTGCCTTGTGAACGCTGAAAAGCGGCAAATAACATCATTAAATTTTATGTTATCCCTGTGTATGTTGTTGGGCAATCATGGAACCCAGCAAACAATTGTATGATAAAGGCCCAGTGAAAATAAACAAAGACAATCAGCTGGTGTGTGGCAAATGTTTCTAATTTTTTCAGAAGCATTTATTGTGCAATTTGACAGCAAAGAAATGTCACAATTTACAAGGGACACTTGAAGCAATTCACAAAAGTGAATAAAATGAATTGGTGCACAAATACATATGATGATGTACTCGTATATAAAATACAAAAAAGATAAAAAATGAATTAAAAGAGAGTGATGATTCTTCATGATGAAGGTTGTGTGAAAACTTAAAAAAAAAAATAATCAAAAATGAAGTTTGTGGTACATCAATATACTGTACTGCTGTATACTGTACATGAAAAAATAATTATGTATTTGGAAATAAATGTTGCTGCATATATGTTTCGTATAGGCCTGCCTGGGGAGAAAGGCGAGCGTGGGTTCCATGGGAAATCGGGCGGTCCCGGAATGCCGGGTCATGACGGGATTCCCGGCGACGAGGGCCAGCAGGGTCTACCAGGACTGCCTGGCGAAATGGTAAGCGTGTCAAACTTGGGTTCGAAAAAATATGGAAAGGCGCCGAAAGACGCAGTTGCCATTATGGACAGGGTCCAAGGGGGTTCCCCGGAGCCAGAGGCTTCCCTGGGCAGCCTGGCCCACCCGGGATCCCCGGCAGCGAGGGCAAAGAAGGCCCCAAGGGCGACCAGGGCCCATCTGGCCAACCGGGCCCGCCGGGACAAGGTGGCCCAACCGGCAGCATCGGGCCACCGGGACCACTGGGGCCCATGGGACCCATCGGCCCGATCGTGAGTTCATTCATCATTCCCCTTCCCCTGATTTTTTCTTTTCGTTTTCATCATCTGGATATATTATATGCTGCATGAGCTGGGTTCATTTAATCCCAAAGAGCCGATAATCAAAGATATATTGAATTTATATTCATGTACGTACGAAAGAGAAGAGGATGATTTCATTCTAATCTTATTCCATTTCTCATACACTGCTAATCATTCTCGACAGTAAAAATTAAATCTATTCAAAAGGCCTCTTTGATGATATATCAATCTTAAAATCAGCTAGCATTTAAGACATGTCAAAGCGCTTCTTTTCATCACCAGTCATTTTTTAGTTTCCCTAAAATTCGGAAACTTTTTTCTTTGTACTCCAAGACTTCCTGTTCGGTCTTCAAATCTTGCCATTCAATGCAGTCATTGAAAATCGTTTTAAAAATTCTTTTCATCACCAGTCATTTTTTAGTTTCCCTAAAATTCGGAAACTTTTTTCTTTGTACTCCAAGACTTCCTGTTCGGTCTTCAAATCTTGCCATTCAATGCAGTCATTGAAAATCGTTTTAAAAAGGCTGGTTCGCAAAGTCTTTGATTTTACAGCACCTGCCATTAATTTGTATTAAATTCCAAACGGCAACGGTTTGTGAATTTGGCATATTTAAAATAAAAATTTCGGCAGGAGTCGAGAAAGCAATTAAAAAAATATTTTTTCGTGAAAAGGATGGAAAAGTTTGATTGCAGTTTCTTGTTACATTTTGACTAACAGAATACGAACTGAGGAGACAAATAAAACATGATTCATTCCAATGACAACCTACTCAGAAAATGCTTCTTAGAATCCATAGAAAGAAAAAAAAAAAGAATTACCCATTGACAGAAAAGAAAAAAATATTCTTTTAATGCATGTTCCAACTCCTGGATTACAATATCTTGACGAAAATAGTTCCTGTTATTCAACCGTATTTTTTTCCATCAATATCAGGGTCCGATCGGGAAGCCGGGCATGCCAGGAATCCCAGGGGCAGATGGCAACCCTGGGCACCCAGGAAACCCCGGGATAGCTGGAGCAAAGGGTGACAAAGGACCAGCAGGTCCCCAGGTAACACACACATTCTCCTCATGCAATGCTTGATTGTGTTACGGTTTCACACTTACGAGCACGAAATTCTTTCAGGGCTTGATCGGATTCCCAGGTCCCCGGGGACCCAAGGGTGACCAGGGTTCGCGTGGTGCCCAGGGAGAGAAAGGAGACAAGGGAGCCCTCGGACTGGAAGGAGAAAAAGGAGACATTGGTGAAAAGGGGGCCAGGGGGCCAGCTGGGCCCGATGGAAGTCCGGGTTTGGAAGGACCTGAAGGACCAAAGGTGGGTCTTTCAAAACTTATTCTTGGAAAATTATAATTTTATTGATAATATATATATAAACCCGAGTCATTGATTTCATCAGGGCTCCGAGGGACCTATTGGCGAGACTGGTAAAGCAGGTGCCACAGGTGAAAAGGGTAAACTGGGCACCCCAGGGTTTCCAGGATATCCCGGGCCATCTGGACCAAAAGGAGAGAAAGGTGCCATTGGAATGCAAGGATCGAAGGGCGACAAAGGCGAACGAGTAAAAAATTTATTTATACGATTATAGCACGTTCAGTTCAAATTTTGCTGATTGCATTCATTTTTTCGTTCTCAGGGAAATCCAGGACTTGCCGGGGAACGAGGAGAAACTGGCCCAAGAGTAATGTTTCATTCCACGCTTTCAAAATTTTCCGCAAATATCAATTTTTGAAATAAGTTCTTGATTTTCGTTTGCGAAATGTCTTTCTGAGTCAAATGTTCACCTGCAGCTTAAAAAAAAATTAATATCCAGATGCAGTATATAATTTTGGTTTGAAATTTGTCAATCAACTGTTCAGTAATCAGAAGTTCAGAACCAAAAATTTGCTCATCGACAATATTATACAGATGCTGTTTGTTTTCCCGTGCAGTCAATTTTTCTGAATTTAAATCTCGATATAAATACTACACCAATAATTAAATACCCTATAATGGTTCGAAATTTTAATAAGGTTGTGCTAAAATTTTCTAAAAAAAACAGGTTAAATATTCTAGGCAGAACTCCGTATAAAAAGAAGACGTGATTATTGCAAATTTCAAAATAATAATCCTTCACACAGGGTTTTCGAGGAGCAAGAGGACCCAGAGGACGAGAAGGAATCACTGGTCCAAAGGTGAAATTTCCTGGCTTTTCGTTGATGGAATTCAAATTTTAAAACGCATATTTAAATGAATAAACTGTAAATCTATTCTCGAATATTGTGTTTTTGCGTATACAGGGAGACACTGGAGAACCCGGGCCAAGTGGGCCACAAGGAGAACGCGGTGCGCAGGGTTCTGAGGGTCCGCGCGGGTTTGAAGGCCCGCCTGGCCCACCAGGTCAAAGTGGCAAAGACGGGGTTGCTGGCCCACCTGGCGAACGTGGCCCACAGGTGACGACATGATTTAAATACCGTTGTATGACATTTTAAAGAAGCACAATATACAACAGGGTATAAAAGTACTTCTTGAAGACATTTGCTTTGGGGATATCATGGATGATATCTTAATGTGAAAATTTCAAATTCATTCAATTTACATGATAAATGATTATAGCTATAATTTTTTGCTGCAGTTTTAAATTACGATATAAATTTAGTGAGTCTCTCACAGCTGCTTATGAACTCGGAAAACCCGTCCATTCTTCATAGTAATTTATCAAATTATTGATTGAGCAGTTGCTTATTATTTTACAAGTGAAAAACCTACTTAAAGCTCGGCTTTTGTAAGTTTATGCGTTAATTAGTTGCATTGAAGATTTAAGTAGACTTGAAAAAAGCTATGAACAGTCTCAAGAGTTCTGTTCTCCCTTTAAATTTTTCAAATTATAATACCATGTGACTGCTCTTTTTTTCAGGGTGACTCCGGGCCTCCAGGGCCACCTGGCCCAACAGGAGTCGTTGGGCCGATCGGACCTATTGGGGAACCCGGTCCAATTGGGGAACCTGGTCCCCCTGGGATCCCTGGTCAACCAGGAGAACCCGGACTGCCAGGCGAAGCAGGAAAAGAGGGTCCTGCTGGACCCATCGGTACCACGGGCAACCCTGGGCCACACGGTGCCCCGGGTCTTCCTGGGTTTCCTGGAGAGAGAGGACTTCCTGGCCTTCCTGTGAGCTTAATCTTGAATCTTTCTATAGATTCATTGAAAGGTCTGCGTGGTTAAAATCCCGTTGAATCAAATCGTTTCACAAAATTCTTCTGACGCTTTTCAAGTCTCGATACCGAAAATTTATTTTATTTAAAATTAAAAAAAATATAGACCCCAAGAATGACTTTGATGTAATGGTTTGCTTTGCTCCAATTAAATTAAATACCAATATATTTCCAATTTATCTTTTAAAAAAATTATCTCGCCTATATGATAAAAAGAAAACTTCGAACTGTCATTGCTGATTATGTCTCCAGCCAAAGCCTGAAATTTCCCAATCACTTTTGATGATTCTTAATTTTCAATAAATGCTCCTTCGGGCGTCAGTTTCTCTTTAAAATTGAAATTGAAAAAATTGAAGTGTTTATGATCTTCAGCTAATCAATTGAATTACCTAATGTGGGGATTTTCCCACTTCAGGTTGGGACCAAAAAAATGTTAAAGCTCGACTCACAGGAAATAGTTTGTCCTCTATCTCCAACAGAAAACATTTCAATTATCAATATTGAATTATGATGATGCTCTTCTCTACAGGGAATTCAAGGTTTAAAAGGAGAAATGGGACCCAGAGGACCGATAGGACCCATGGGACTCAAAGGAGACACTGGTGAGTCTGGTAAACAGGGACCACAAGGGCCACCTGGGCCAACAGGGCCTGTGGGTGCACCTGGAGGCGATGGAATCAAGGGGGACGCTGTGAGTTTATTCTTGAATATAAAGAAACATGTCTTCTTCTTCTTTTTTTTCAATCACAATCCTGATTGATTTCACGCATATGAATTTTTGCAGGGTGACCCAGGGCCACCAGGGCCAACTGGAAGAGATGGACTGCCAGGACTCAGAGGCCTGCCTGGGGCTCCTGGCCCATTGGGTCCCCCTGGTGAGGATGGTGACAAGGGAGAACCAGGGCCACCAGGGGAGAAGGGATATGCCGGAGCCAAAGGAGACATTGTGAGAGAAATGCATTGGCAATTATTTGAAAACATTATTGAAAACATTCAAATCGCATTAAGCCACCACTTACCTTGGGCACCACCATTTTCTCTTGAAAAACAAATCTTGCCTCATGATAACTCTTTTCAAAACCACACTAAAATTCTTTCTGCCGTCCAAACTTAAATATGCTCCTGCCAAGTCAACTTGATTCTAGGTTCTGTAAAAAAGGTCTCCAATAAATGAAACCCAAATACAAAGATGAACTAATTAATTTCTTTTGGGAACATCAGCTAGACATAATTTGCGCATTCCATGGTAATTTTGATATTTTTTCTCAGAAGAATGAGAATTTTATTTTCTATTATGCTTGACTTTCACATTATTTTAACTTGCTTGATGAACCCTCATCAACTACCTTCAAACTACCAAAAAACCTCGCAAAAAATGGTAGGGGCTCATTCAGGTTTTACATTACAATTTTCAAAAGAAATTGCATTTTCTAACGTTTCTCTTTCTATTTTTCTCCGATGTTGTCCACACAGGGACCAACAGGGTCACCAGGCAAGCAGGGCATCCCGGGTTCTCCTGGCCCAGTTGGTCTTCCAGGAGAGAGAGGACCACCAGGAAACATGGGACTCCCAGGCAGAAAAGGAGAACAAGGACCAGAGGGACCGAATGGACTTCCTGGAATGCCGGGTCTTCAAGGCTTGCCAGGACCTCCAGGGGTTAAAGGGGAAGCTGGAGATCATGGGAAAAGAGGTCCACCTGGCCCAGCTGGAAAGCCCGGTGAGGCTGGGCCAGCTGGCAGTAAAGGTGGGGGAGGCCCACCAGGTTTGCCCGGGCCTGAAGGCAAACAGGGCTTCAAGGGGGAGCCTGGGAATGCTGGGCCTCCTGGGCCACCAGGCATTGATGGGATTCATGTAAGGGGAAAATAAAACAATATTATTATTTTTTACAGTGTGTCAATAAGGCAGACTCAACAAAAAAAATGGAGATACTGTAATTCTTTCTGCAAACATGGAACTATATTTTGCATACCGTACTTGTATTTCATCAGGGAGGACAAGGCCCACCGGGAGCAAAGGGAGAAGAAGGCAAGCCCGGGTTGCAGGGTTCCCCGGGGCCAAGAGGCATCATGGGTCCTGTGGGTCCAAAGGGTGAACATGGACCGAGAGGGTTTCCTGGGAACCCAGGAGAACCCGGGATCCAGGTATACAATACTGTACCTGAAATTGCTTTCATTAATTTTCTAGACAGCTTTTCTTTGCTCAATCTAATGATTTTAATCTTCGGCAGGGTCCCAAAGGTGATGACGGAGTACCAGGTGATGATGGGTCCCCTGGTCAAACTGGCCCAGCTGGGAAAGAAGGTCCTCCTGGGGAAATGGGTCTACCTGGATCCCCTGGCAAACCGGTGCATTTTCTTTGCTTCTTTTTTTCCTTCTCGCTCTTCACAATGAATATTTCTTTTCTTTGACGTTTTTGTACTTATTTTGCTCACCATCAGGGTCCGCCAGGTCCAGCAGGACAACAGGGTAGCACAGGTGCACAGGGTGTCATGGGTGACAAGGGTGAAATGGGCGGTATTGGCAAACCTGGCCCACCCGGCATGACGGGAATGTCTGGGGCACAGGGCCCTGCTGGACCGATAGGGTCCCCTGGTCCTGTGGTGAGTCCATCTTAATTCAAGCTTGCTAAAATGAATAAATTTACAGAAACCACTTCATACCAGAACGAATGAAACGCTCATAAGCAAACCTCTTTTCAAAATCCTCAAGAGGTCTCCGCATTTCCATCATACAATTTTTCATTTGATGGGTTTTTTGAATATTGAAAATTTCAGGGCGATGTCGGACCCATCGGAAAAACGGGATCCCCTGGGCAACCAGGTTCCACAGGCCTCGACGGACCCAAGGGTTCCAAGGGATCTCAGGGTACCAAGGGCTCCAAGGGTCATCGTGGTGACATGGGTCCAACGGGCATGAAGGGTGACGTGGGTGAAAAAGGTGAACCCGGCGAAAAGGGACCAGCAGGAATGATTGGTGCCAAAGGAGAATTGGTGAGTCATTATAGTCATGACACTTTGATACATTATATACTCGTACTGTATTTTTAAAAAAATTTAAATTTTCATGATCATTCCTGTACGAGTTATGTCTGTTTCTTTTATAGCATGGATTTGAGCACAAATTAAGGTGATTGATTCTTGGTAATGAGTTATCCCGAAGATTCAAGTAAATATTCAGGATATAACTCAATTCCAAAAATGAAACTTGATACTTCACGATGATTAACGTAATCTTATACCTGCTTCACCCGGCCCTTTATCGTCTGTTTAAACTTCGAATATAATCCTTGTAGATTTACTGTAAAAATTAGGTAATCATCCAGGAACTCGTTTAAGTGAAACAGCTTTTAATTTTTTCCTGAAAACAATCTTCATCTGATTGAAAACTCAAGAAGCTGTAAAGCAAATTTAAAAAGTGAAAAATAAATTTACAAAAGTCGAGAAGCATTTAAATGTGCTTTGACGTTTATCATAATCATATCAAACAGGGTGGAACTTTTTTTATTTCAACTGTTTTAAAGTCGACTTCCAGCATGTTACTGATTAGCCCGAAAGCTTTTTTTTTTTTTTTTTTTTTTTTTTTTTTTTTTTTTNTGTTTACCCCAAAAGCTTTTTTTTTTTTTTTTTTTTGTGGAATATTCTCACTCACCTTTTTATGAATAAATTATCATGACTGCTCTTTATAGCAGTGCTAAAATCTTCAAAAAATATATAACTGTCTCCCCTTCATCAGGGTCCAACTGGAGAACAAGGTCTGAAGGGCAACGACGGACCTCAAGGGGTACCAGGGCCACCGGGTTCCTTGGGACTCAAGGGCTCCGAGGGCCAAGCTGGCCCCAAGGGCGACACTGGTCCTGTGGGCCCTGCTGGACCACCTGGCCCACCAGGAGAGCTTCCCAACATTCCTCTCGAACTACTGCTGCAAAAAGACGACCCCACTTCCTTATGGAGACGAAAACGAGAAGCGTTCGTAAAATTTTGCCATCGTATTCCTTATTTTCTGAAAAAAAAAATTCATTCGCGCCATTATTGCAAGAAAAAAAGTTTTATGAATCATTTTACGTGTTAAACTCACTTTTCCAATGAAGAACACTGAAATTTTGCCAAGATAAGAATTGCAAACATACATTTTCTGAAAGTACGCAAAAAACCAGGTGTGAATTTGATATTACATGAAAGTGATTGATTATATCTATCTCGTTTAATTCAAAATTATTTCATAAAATGACGTACTACTTGAAAAATTCCGCTGCAGTCGTGATTCGTGACTCAAATCCGGAAATTTATCTGAATTATATAGAGTATAGTATAAAATAAATATATTCCGTGCAAAATATACAAGATCATCTTGAAATCTTTATAAAACTATTCATTCTTGCCAGGATAATCCATCTTGTACCGCATTATATAAACTAAAAGTGCCCTTGAGCCTGTTTTGGCACATTTTGAACTTCAAACTACAATTAAATCCAGTCCTTATTGAGTGGAACGTTAATTGTGTATAGTGTAACAGAAAAACGAGAAAAAATTGTATGAAAGATTTTCCTCGTCGGTTATTTTTTTTTTTTGTCATGTGATTTCGTGCAGACCCGAGCTGAAGAAACTGGATTTGACAGACGTGCAGAAAGAAGAATTGGGCGGTAAATTGTTGGACATGTACACAAACATAGTGGCGATGCGACAAGAAATCGAACGCATGAAGAAGCCCCTGGGCACAAAGGAATTCCCTGGCAGGTCCTGCAAAGACGTCCATTACGGACACCCAGATTTTCCAGATGGTTGGTTATATCCTACATTTCACTCGGAGTTTTTTTTTTTTTTTTGAAAAGCAGAAAGAGAAAAACCTAGTCGAAAAATTAATCAAGTAACCACATTCCGTCGGTTTTGGCCGGAATTTTTCTCGCGGAAACGAACACGAGGACAAACAAAAAAAAAGCTAAAGAATGCCGTTATATTCAAGCACAAAACGAATAAAAAAATTCCAGTTCATTTGAATCTCAATATTCATTAGGGCACGGAGAAGAAGGTAATATATTTCAAGAAAATCAAAAAGCCACCCTTATTCATTTCAGACAATTCACCATGGAAGAAGAAATAATTTCCGATTGATTGATTGATTGATTGATGGGCTTTTAATGCTGAAAAGTAGTATACCAGTGAAGGAGACTATGCTTTTCTCCCTAGAGCTTGTGGCTTTTCTGAAAAGGATTTTCCAAGAGTCGGTATCGATCAACACAACATTTCCAAATTCGGTTGTCTTTGAGGGCATCATCGCTTTCAAGGGATTTTCAAAAGTAGCTCTGCATTGAGAGTTTCATTTGAATTAATTTGAAGGGAAATGCAGTAAATATTTTATTCGTATATGTTATGACAAAAGATCTATTCTTTGCACAAGATTTTGGTTGTTTTTAATATTTAAAGAATTTCAACTTGAACTGAAGGGGATTTTATTCCCAATTCTTTCTTATTTTGCAAAACTGTATTCTTACTAATATAGAAAGACATTCTCTTGTTTCAATTTCGCAGTAAAGTTCAATTCCATGCAATTAAATTGCGCACCTGAACTGCAGAAAACAAACAAATTTGCTCATTAGCCCATGTGCAGCAAAGTTGGGATATTTTCGCCAAATTTTGTGCCACTGCATGCCGGAAATTTTAAAAATCTTACTTTTGTACGAAGGCCTAAGTTGGGAAAAGTCTGATATTTTGTTCTAATCCTGCAAACAATGTTGAATGAAAAAAAAAATCCTCACTGGGTGGCATTTTTTCCTGCATTCCTGGCATAGAATTTGCACGGGACATTTCTGAAAACAAGGAAAAATTTGCCTCCCAGATTTTTCCTGACTTAGGCCTTCTCAACCTGGCAGCATTTCAGTGACCTTGGATCAAACTGAAATGTGCTACTCACCAAAAAAAATCCCAACTCTGTTGCACAAAAAAAAATAAAAATAAAACCTATGCTGTTATACCCATGCAAGGCTTAGTAATACAAGTTATATTTGAAGGGTTCAGTATTTTCTTTGTGATATTCCTACAGGTGATTTCTATTTGCATCTAAATTTTAGCCTCATTATACATATTCTGGCTGAATTTTTTGCTAGAAACATGTTTTTATGTATATTTGAAATTTTTAATCATTTATGCGTCAATTTAAATATATAATTAGATTTTTCTGACTTATCTCAGCCACTTTGTTGAGCTTTCAGCAAAAGATGAGTTCATTTTTAGAAGATTTAAAATTGAATATACTGTAAACACAGCATCCATGTGTGTATGATTTCAACTTCTTGAGAAAAGTAATGTTATTCGCTTTTCAGCATTCTTCAAACTTAATTTGCATCTAAAATTCCAGCAGCATGGTTGAATCTGCGTATACGTTTGCTGCACCAAACAGAATACTTCAAACATGCCCATGGATCCCCCTAATGATTTGGAGAGCTTCTTTCCTCCCCTTTCTTATCGGAAGCCTCAGTTCGGGTTACGGGTGTCTTGGGTTGCTGCTGGGAGGGGGTCAAAAAAGAGAAGAAGGAAAAAAGGAGATGACGAAGAAAGGGGAAAAAGCTGGTTGTTTTTTTTCTTTTTTTTTAGTTTTTTTTTTAAATACTTTGTTGATGTCATGTGCCTTATATCCCTGCTTGTGTCCCCATCATCAGGCTGGTATTGGATCGACCCGAACCTGGGTATGCCGGACGACGCCATCTACGTGTTTTGCAACATGACCTCAGGCGGAGAGACGTGCATGTTCCCTGATGTCCATGCCTCCAAGATGCCCAACATCCCCTGGAGGAAGACCAACAACCAGAACTCCTTGTATTATTCCCAACTTCGCGGCGGGTTCCGGGTAAGATGTAACCCGTGCTTCTATATAAAAGCACTCATTTTTACTGTGATAAAAAAAAGAATAATACAGGGTCAAACAATCGGAATAAAGTTGGAAATGCCCTATAGTCTACATTACAGTAGTTCAATGGATAAAACAAAAAAAGACAATTTACAAATAAAGGTGGGTCTTTGCAAAGCAGTCTAATTGTGAGAAATTTTGTAAAATTGAAAAATATCAGCACAAAAGTGCAAAAAACTGGCCAAAGGAGGTCAAACTCTGGGGCAGAGGTCAAATTGCAAGTCAACCTCCCTGCTAATTGGACCGTTGAATTGCAGGATGGTCAAATTGCAGGAGGTTGAATTTCAAGGTGTCACCTGTACACTACAGCCAATCCTATTGGTGTGAAAGCAGACTTTTTTGTTGCAAATTTCTCTACCTGCCAAAAATCATTTTAACAACAAGTCTTTGGATCCAGGAAAGAACAGGGATACTTTCTGGCCCATCCCATTGCAAAGTCAGGATATTTTTCAGACTTCTTATTCTGGACTTGAGCATTTTCCATAAATTTAATGCGTTCTTTTCTGCGTCCATGGGCAGCACAGAATTTTGTGAAAATATCCCATAACTTTGCCGCAGAAGGGCTCAAGTCCAGAAACATTTCCCACCAACATAAAAAGAAATCCCCATGGCCGAGATTATTCTTTTACACCATCCCAGATTAGTTCCATCAATTTTTCAACAAGTAATACACAGAACCACGCTTCCTTTTTTTTAAATTCAAAAGAAAAATTGGCAAAATCGGGATTTTCTTTTGTGAATAACTGCTGTGTTGCTGAGTGACTGTGGGTCATTCACAGTTGAAAGAGCGTAATGGCATGAAAGTATGTGACAGAAAATCAATTTCATCACGATGAAAGCAATATAATAGAGTGCTGTAAAAGACTCAAAATCACAAATTTTCAGTTTCAAAAAAAACCGGTTTGGAGGGAACAAAGAATTTTTGCAGTCTGACAATTCGTCCCACCAGCAGAACTTTTCTATATGCAAATCATCCACTGTAAGTATTTGTGAAATAAACTATTCCCGAAGTAAATGTTCAATCATTTTTCCAATACTGCTGAAAACCAACTTTTATACAATTCCTCTCGCTTTTCGAAAAAAAATGAAGGATGCAACTTCAAATAACAAATTTGCAACAGTGTATAAACAGAAATCATCTACAAAAGCTTTCGGAAATCAATTCCTGTATTTATTTTTCAGATTTCGTACGAGACCGTTGGGACAGTGCAGATGACGTTTTTGCGACTGCTGAGCGAGAATGCGAGACAAAATTTCACGTACACTTGCATAAATTCAGCTGCCTGGTTTTCCACCGAAACGGAAGATTATCGATACGCTGTGAAATTCATGGGATCCAATGATCACGAGTTCACTTCCAAAAAATTCAAGCCCACCATTTTGGACGACACTTGCCGGGTATGATCAGAAAAAAAAATCCAACTTAAAATTGCGAGCTGAATTATTATTTCGACAAAATATCAAAAACGATTAATTTCGGAAACTCTGTTTTAATTTGCGGGAACGAGAAGGGTGCAAAAAAATTAATCACGCTTGATTTTTGTGTTTGAATGTCCAGATACTTTTTTCTTCGCAAAAAGAAAAATCACTATTCGAGAAATGTCCCTGTTCCTACTAATAAAACATTTTTTCAAATTTTACTCAACGATGTATTTGCAAAAGTCTTAAAATTGATGACATATTTTCAGTTGAGATGGAAATTAAATTACTGGATTGAAAATTGCTGGAAAAATAGGTGCCCAATATAAGTAATAATTTCATAGTTAATCAAAGCACGGAGCATAATTTGTTTTTTTGAATGAAAATCATTTCTTCAAATTTCATGCAGCGATACATTTGCAACCGTTCTTAAATTCGTGAAATATTTACAGTCGAGAAAATTGAGCTCCTCTTATGGTTGCCTTCGGATCCAAAATTCCGGAAAAATTAAGAACATGATTGGTCAAATTTTCGCAGTTGATCGGAACACGGATTGTCAAAAGTGGCAGTGATTTTTTAAATTTATTTATAATTTGACTGAAAATGTCTTTCGAATTTCAGTCTCGGAAACGCAACGGCAAAACCGTGTTTGAGATGACGCAATCCAGGAGATTGAACATGTTGCCAATCGTGGATTTCCAGCCAGTGGATTACGGCCAACCACACCAAGCTTTCGGGTTCGAAGTCGGTCCAGTCTGCTTCAAATAATTTCCTCAGTCCATTTGAGACTGCAAAAACACTGCCAATAAGTTTCCAATTCGATCCCACTACCCACCTCAAGTCTTTCAAACTCCCCAGAAATTTGTAAATAACCCCTGAACCCAGGTGAATTTTTTTTTTTCGTGTACTGCGCTGTAAATACTGCACGATGTTATCCGGGTTTGTTTTTTCGTTCCCCATTTTATTTTTCGCAAAAAAACGAAAGAAAAGATATTCAGCGATCTGTGAGTCCTGAAACTGATGTGTTCCATAACCGCATGGTGCAAAAAAAGAAACACTCCTTTCTAGCTGTTTTTTTTTGTTTGGTGCTTTTCCTGGGATCGGGAGAATATTTCAAATCATGTGTTCACAAAGAAGAAAAAAAGAAGAAATAGTTTTCCTTTTGGGAAAACGTGTTGCTCAAAGGCGAATATACTTCGTTGGGTGCTGTTGTGGTTGAGATTAAGCTGAGTGTGGTTTTTCTCTGCTGTTTGAGAACTCGAGAAAAAAATATAGACATGAGAGACTTTGTTTTCTTTATTATTATATATACGAAAAACTTGTATTTTTTGCAGGAAGCGAAACTTTTCGTCTTGGAATTCAGGTCATGATGACATATAAACATATCAGGAGTCTTTCTTTATAATAAATTATTATGCTAAGACATCTCCAATATTTTCCATGGGACATAAAAATTTCCTGGAACACATTTTGAGAAGGAAAATTAATCCCGGGGGTGTTTGTGCTGTCTGCAATTTCTGTGCTGCTGAAACTTGCAAAAGACTTCGAACAAAAATTCGAACTCTTTGCAATCCCATTTCCCCCGTTATTTACTCAGAATAAAATTTAGGAAAAAGAATTTCTGGTTCGTTCTGTTGAATGATAAGATTGTGAATCTGACCTGCAAGTTTTTTTTTTTTCTTTTTGCTCGCAAATCCCGCAGTTTAGGCCTGAATTTCCGAAATCCCGTCGGCATTTCCAGAGTGACCAAATAATCTGAACAAGCCCTGGCACATCTTCATCAATCAAACTTCACCTCAAGACCAGAGAAAATGGGGAGATTTTGGCGAGGGCGGAATCCGATTACGACGTATATCGTGGCCGAAAAGAAAACGGTTCCGTGTGGGGGGGTTCCATGCGAACCCTCGAGTGGAGGGTTGCGATATCATGGGGCCACATTCGTGGCCGGAAGGAAGAGAAATCCGCTCAACTCATCACCAGGTTCTTGGTGTGTCCAACACACTCAGTCTTTCGCCATGGGCATCAGAACAGAGTCCAATCAATGATTTATTATTATTTTTTTTTTAGAACTGGTCAGGGGTATTTCTTCATCCGTCTTACAGTCTGCTGGATTCGATCCAAAGATGGTGGGGGTGTGGCAGGGAGAAATCGCCAGGAATTCCAATCATGGATTGAATGGAGGTCAAATTGGGGTTGTTATCCAGGAAAGGAACAGAATATTCCTTTCCCGCCAAAAACTCGGATTAACGTCCGAGTGACGAATTCCCGATTTTCGGATATTCGGACTTATGTCCGATTGATAAATTTCGGACTCTGGCAAAATTCGGATCAATGTCCGAATAATAAATTACCTGTGCTGTTTTCGTTTTCATGTGTTTGCCCAGGAATGCCTAATCCATTCCTCCCCCCATTTTTGGTGCAGCTTATCTTTTCCCCAAAAATGGAATTATCAAGAAAGGAAAAGTCACCCCCAGAATCCCTGACAGGGAATAATTGCCCTTCCCTGTTTCTCCCTGTTTAAGGATAACTCTGGATATTCCACTACTGGAATTTATCCATTACTGATGACAGGTGATGAATCTGTTAAAAGATCACATCTGCCTTTCTCCCCAGATTTGATCCTGGGATTAATCTCTTTAGCAAAGATTGGCACTGGCAAAAAGCTGATGCAATGTGCATCCCCTTTTTGCTCATTCTCTTGTTCTATGCCTGGGTCAGTATTTAAAGGTGTGCAATTCTGTGTTCCCCAGAATTCATGTCCAGTGTGTCTCCAGTGTTCCCCAGTGAAGGTCTAAAGAATAGAAGTCAAAACCTAAACTAGAAACCTCTGCTTTAAATTGGGACTTGTCTGTTTGACTCTAGACTTGTTTATTCTCATTCGAACTTCACTTAATGAAGTTAGTCTTATTGTTGAGTGTTGTGTGTTTATTTCTGTTTACTGTATTGTGAACTAATATCCAATGTATAATAAAGTGTGAATGCATCCAACTCACAGTCCTTCTATTTATTGATAAAGAAATCTAATTCAAATAAAATAAGGACAACAGGGTTAAGATAAATGCGAAGTGCACTGGGATAAAGAAGTTCTCAGTTCATCTGATTATATTCATGCTGAGTTATTGAAAGAGGGTTTCTCAGTGAGCTGCACAATACAGTCAGCCTGTGCACAATGGACTTTATTCCTGAAACATAATAGTTTGTTATGTGAAAAATCTGTTACACAAATTCATTTATTAATCAATAATTTTTTTAAACTTTTTACCAATAATTTTAAACCAACAGAAGCCTGTTGAGCAAAAATCCTTTAGGTGGGGTGTCTGTGAGGTGGGGGCTGACTGTAATACACTCTATATGTGATTTCCAATACAAAATTCCATAAAAATCTTGTCATAGCAACGTTTTCACTGTGATGTCTTTTTTCTTGGTAACAGCAGTTTCTCATTGGAACAATGTTGTAAAAATCTCATAATAAGATACTAATTTGCCTCTGTAATCTTTGTATGGTGGTGTCCAGCAATTTAATCCTAATCTGTTTCTGAAGTAGGAGTTGTAGGACTAGGGTCAAACTGTGAAGCAGTCAGATTGCAAGAAAATGTCAAGTTTGATATTTTCTACAATGTATTTGCCATTTTGCACATATGTGTGGCTTGAATTGTGGGGCAGAGGCACAATTGCAAGTTGAACTCCATTTGGCAATTGAATTGCAGGATGTGTGGATTGTGGGGTAGTCAAATTGTGAGGTACCAACTGTACAATGAGCTTGTCCCAACTATGTGTGCATGGACAGTAGAAACTTTATAAAAATCGCAGACTGTCAGAAAACCCAGCTTTTGTATGCTTGAAAACCTTTAAAAATGTCAATACTAATCTTTTCTAAAGAAAATACAGAATTGCAGGAAGTATGATGCTGTAATAAAAATTTATCTAGCTTTATTGTGCAATTTCAAAATTGAAGGATTACTGCTTCATTTCAGCGAAAATATAGTTAGTGAATGAAGTCATGTTCTTATTCTTGCTCGAGTATTTTATGTTTGTTTCAGATACTAAACTTCAGTGAGTTTAATCTCCAGAAATTCAAGGAAGGTGGTGACAAGAGAAATGCATTTTATATTTTGAATTTCCTCCAGTTTGAATTAAAGTATGATATCATGAGTGAACTGTGGCAATTGGTCACATATGTATTGTTGAAGTGCTTATTTTTGCCCCTTCTTATAAAAATGAGACAATTTCTATTTTTAAAAAATGAGACAATGAGTTTCTCATTTGCGTGATTCCATATTGCTGAGGCGCTCATTGAATGTATAGATCCATCTCAAAATTCATTCATGTCATCAGACTGATTTCAATTTTTAAAAATGTTTGCACAACAGGTCATGTATAATGAATAGGAATGAAAATATAATTTGAAAGTTGAAAACTTGAAATTTATAAGAACAGTTCAAAAGAGCAAATCACGAGGAAAATACTGAGACACTTGTTAGGAATGGATTTAAAGGTTTCAAAGTTTTGAGTTTTGAATTTTGAGGTTTGAAATAAATCTCGAGAGATGAGCAATCAGCCGGCCGGGGTGCTTTACACCCTAGTCTAGTGTAAGGTTTGATATATTTCAAGAGTTTTCAAGATTTCAACAACAACAAACTTGTGAGCAGTCTTTTGCGTAAGACAAACCAAAGGCAACTGATGCAACAACATAAATTTCATTTGGTATTCAAACACATTTATTTTTAAATTTTTGTCCCTGAACGGATCTTGTCTTTCTATTGGATTTTCCCCCAAGGATTTGTGGGAACTCCAGGTCAAACTCGGTCCCACAGGATTCCAGATTTCCCTAAAGTTTCAACGTATTTCTGGCGCCAGTCTAATCCCTTATTCCATCATACTTATTACGCTTTCCAACAACATGTTATCCCTGGAAACGTAGTAAGTTACGTGCGTCTCCTTTTAATTAGGATGGGAAATGATTAAGATACTAAAAGTCTATTCCAGACGAAAATAGTCTTTATTCAATATAACACACAGTATTCACAATTGTTATCCTATTTTCAATTATTTTTACTTTAGAAGAATAACTAAGATAAATAAATGGGACCGTTATGAGTGACTACTCTTGCGGTTCTTAACTCCTTAGTCGCGGAGGAGTGCTTCTGCTGACGACGCGAGACTTATCGAGAAAATACAGACAGGCTTTTTCTCAGACAACAGTTTTATTCAACCCGATTTCGTACACTCGAAATATCANGTCAAATTGTGAGGTACCAACTGTACAATGAGCTTGTCCCAACTATGTGTGCATGGACAGTAGAAACTTTATAAAAATCGCAGACTGTCAGAAAACCCAGCTTTTGTATGCTTGAAAACCTTTAAAAATGTCAATACTAATCTTTTCTAAAGAAAATACAGAATTGCAGGAAGTATGATGCTGCAATAACAATTTATCTAGCTATATTGTGGAATTTCAAAATTGAAGGATTACTGCTTCATTTCAGAGAAAATATAGTTAGTGAATGAAGTCATGTTCTTATTCTTGCTTGAGTATTTTAGGTTTGTTTCAGATACTAAAACTTCAGTGAGTTTAATCTCCAGAAATTCAAGGAAGGTGGTGATAAGAGAAATGCATTTTAAATTTTGAATTTCCTCCAGTTTGAATTAAAGTATGATATCATGAGTGAACTATGGCAATTGGTCACATATACATTGTTGAAGTGCTTATTTTTGCTCCTTCTTCTAAAAATGAGACAATTTCTATTCTTTTTTAAATGAGACAATGAGTTTCTCATTTGCGTGATTCCATATTGCTGAGGCCCTCATTGAATGTATAGATCCATCTCGAAACTCATTCATGTCATCAGACTGATTTCAATTTTTAAAAATGTTTGCACAACAGGTCATGTATAATGAATAGGAATGAAAATATAATTTGAAAGTTGAAATTAATAAGAACAGTTCAAAAGAGAAAATCACGAGGAAAATACTGAGACACTTGTTATAGGAATGGATTTAAAGGTTTCAAAGTTTTGAGTTATGAACTTTGAGGTTTGAAATACATCTTGAGAGAGCAATCAGCTGGGCTGCGGCCGGGGTGCTTTACACCCTAGTGTAAGGTTTGATATATTTCAAGAGTTTTCAAGATTTCAACAACAAACTTGTGAGCAGTCTTTTGCGTAAGACATAACCAAAGGCAACTGATGCAACAACATAAATTTCATTTGGTATTCAAACACATTTATTTTTAAATTTTTGTCCCTGAATGGATTTTCCCCCAAGGATTTGTGGGAACTCCAGGTC